CGCCAAAAACATTATGAGACAGACAGACAGACAGACAGACAGAGTCTGCATTGTACAATCTTCCCACTAGATGTCAGTAAGTATTCTAATTCATTCAAATGCACTGCATATCTTTATCACTCACTCTCACATACACACCCAGTTCAGGGAAAGAAGAAAAACATAAGTAAAAAATCATCTCGTTTTGACCTCATCAGCAAGAGAAGAATTCCATTTTCTGATAAAAATACTTAAATTAATTTGATTTGCAAGGATATAAAATATCATACACTAGGTCCTCTGTGGTCAGAGAAGTCCATACAAGTGCTCATGCATTTCAAATGAATTAATCGAGGTATAATCATCACATTTTCTGATGATAAATTCTCATTCATCATCAGAATGATGAATGATCATCCACATTTTTAAGGCTAAATATGTGTATATTTTTTTATTTGACTTTGAATTTTGACCCTATATATGGTAAATATATATATTCTTTAGAATTTATAAATCAGCTTAAACATTATTAATTGCATATGCACAAATTCCCAGCTTCACCTTTTTTCCGACTTTTCTCCTCCTTTTCTCCAGTTCCTGCCACACTGTTTCTGCCGTCCATAATGGCGAGAGATTCTTGTAAGATAAACACATTAAAAAAAGAGGAAGATCAGCAGATGAGAGATTTGCAAAGCGAAACAACCAACCCCCATTTCTCTCTTTTCCTCATTCTCTCTTTCTTTCCCTTTCTCTCTCATTATCCTCCCCTGCTCATTTGAATAAATTAACACCCCCCGACGTCTCGCTTCACCACCTTCCTCTTCCCCCCGATCTCTCCCCCTCAACAGGCTGCAGGGAGAGAGAGAAATCCAGAAATATCCTGCTGTTTCCACACACATTCATTCACTTACTCCCTCATGCACATAGACACAATCACACCCACCCTCCAATACACCAAATTCATCCCGAAAGCTCGGGTTCAACAGTCTCATCTCTGCTAACACAAAACAAACCCCTCCTCAGCATGCAAAAAAAAGAAAAGAAAGAAACACAAATTTCAAAATAAAAACATTTGGTCTTGTAAAAAACAGACTGGCGCTCAGGCACAGATGTACGGGTCCCTCCCTCAGCTGCCTGACTTGGTGCAACTCACTCACTCATTTGACTAATGCTGGCGAGCATAACATGGCGTACGGTTCTGTATCAGGCTGGCTAATTAGCGCCAGTGCAGCTCCAGCGAAACTGGGCAAGCCGTGCACCACTGCGCCGCCATGCTAAACCAAAGCAGCTCACCATCTGGGCCTCCTCGGCCGCCATTTTGGATCTGCATGGCGCTAGTTTGCATAGAGCACTCTAATAGGCGGCCTACTGCAGGGGGAACTGAAACGGGGCACGTTAGCCACCATTACAGAAGGCTAGCATTTTGTGCCCTCCTGTTACCTGCGTGTGGCTGAGGTGGGAAGGCGCCAACCCTTGCCCCCTCCTTTCCACTCCGCTACCACCCTCTACCCTCAGTGACCTTGCAGGCATTTGGTTAGGGAGGGGGCTCTCTGCATTAATACCAGATACATTAGCGTTAATATAATTCTACCATGTAGCCGTGGCCTGAGGGGGGACTCTGATTGTCTGCGTATTAGCATTACCGTTCTCATTAGCCCACCCGCTTCTGTCGTCTCCGCTCTCTCTCCTTCCTTTTCCTCATTGGCATACTCTCTCTCTCATTCTCTGCTTTTCTCCAGGCAACAGATGAGAGAGAGTGATGCAGATGATTTGTATTAGCAATGATTTCAGCAGTAGCTGCCTGCCTGCAAGTCAGTGGTCACTTCCTCTCTGATGCACATTGTGTAGATATATACACAGTATCTACATTTATTTCAGCCAGTGTGGCTTGGACTTTCTTTCTGAGTGTGTGTGTGTATGTTTCTCCATAAGTGTGTGGGAGGGTAAGGGTAGCATTCCATCTTCTATATTTCCACTTGTTACATAACTGAATAGAGAGTAGTGGTAGAGAGAGGCCTCGGTAGGAAACAAAGAGTCCGGCTGATCTGCTCAACTGCTCTCTTCTCTGCTTATTCTTTCCCATACAAGCCACTGCAGAAAGAGGTGTATCTTGACCGGCAAACTTCAGTATACATTTCTGAAGTTCAGAGGTATCCAGGAGCTTACTAGCAGGATCATTCCAATGTGTGTGGCCAAGGTAAACCTCTGTGTAATAGCCAAGTGCAGAGTTGTACTTGAGAACAGCTCTTTCTACTAACAGAACTCATGATTATGTTGACTCTGTCCTGACTTGGACCCAACTATCTACTCGATCTTGACTTGGACTCGAATGAGCTGGTCTGGACTACAACACTGGACAAGTGACCCCTAAAGGAAAGGCAGGGGCCCTGGAGAGCCACTGTCCTGTAGAGTTAGCTCCAACTTGCCTCAAAACACCTTCCTGGAAGTTTCCAATATACCTAGTAAGACCTTGATTAGCTGGTTCAAGAGTGTTTAAGTTGTGCTGGAGATAAACTCTGCAAGACAGTGGCACCTCTGGACACCTCTGCCCTAAGTTGTTTTGTCAGAAGTTGTACCCTATAACATAAAAGTGTCATATGCATTTCAAATCTTTCTGCCACTGTGCTTGACCCTTTTGGTCATTCATTTCATGACCATTTCCACTGGATTTGTTGCTCTCAAGCTTAACCCAACCCAAAGATAGGGTAGTTATCAGGTGAGGACAACAATGAATGTTGTGGCCACATCACTCTCAGAAAAAAAAGTGCAAAAAATTTTACCTTTAACTTGTTGGGGCATTACCCTCAAAGGTACACATTAGCACCTTATCTAACCTAAAAAGGCACATGTTATTACTTCAAGGTATAATCAAGGTACTAATGTGAACTCTTTGAAGGTACTGCCCCAGTGTCAGGTAGTTCTACTCCAAAAAAGTACAATTTTAGCATTTTTTCCCTGACAGTTATAATGTTAGGGGCCTGCAAAGTTACACTATGGTATAGCATAGTCATTGGGTGATAGAAGTGACTCACCCATAAAAATTTTTTCCCAGGGCTGGATGTAGTATTTGCAATGACATTGTCGCAAACCAGATGGCAGTTGAGTCACTGAACCCACTGATTTTTGTTAAAAGTGATTTCATTGTTTAGACTTCAACTTTATTCCACTCAAAACCCAGGTTTTACTGATTCCCAAAAATGTACATGTGAGGTGTTTGGCTTTGTCGGGAAATTTACTTTACTTTTTTGTTGGGAAATTTTTACTTTTAACTCTGTTTAACTAACTCTTTTCATGCAGTGAATTTTGTACTCTCCGAAATGCAAACTTTAATATAAAAACAAAACAAAACAAAACAAAAAAAACCTCATATTTTAGCTGAAAACATAATGAAATTAACCAAAATATGCAACTTTGTAACCGATTGTTCTGATTTTGTAGAAATAAATTTATGTGGGCACAATCTAAGTTACCTAGAGTTTTAACAGAGTAATCATAATTTACATCTGATGTACCCATGCCTTGTCCACTTAATTCCAGGATGAAAGGTTCTGCTATGACAACATATCTTCACTAATGATTATTCAATTTAAATGATCTGAAATAACTGGATGAAATGACATTAGATTAACTGTTCTATTGCCGACTGCCCAGGCATAGCCTGTGTCTGGGGCTGGGTAAGGATACATCGCTGTCATTATGTGTAGAATCACATGTCAGTGTGATGGATTTCTGTATGGGTTGATTCTCTGACAGGGCTGCACATAGCCTGTAATCAATAGCAGTACAGTACGTTACAGTTCAATAATTACCCGAAGTGGATGTGGGTGTGTGAAGCCAGAGAGCGCTGGAGCGGAACCATCAAGCCAAACACTGTAACCATTGGTAGCTCTACACTCTATCACACTCTATCACTCTACACATTATCATTTCTTAAGTTGCCCTGGGGATAGTGTGCCATACTGTAATTTTACACCCATACATGTACTCTGGCATTGTTACGTATCATTGTCAAAATAATCCATAGAAATCCATCAGACTGCTTTATTCCTTTTAAGATGACGGGTTTGCCAATTTCCACATAGAAAAACTGTCAAATGCTATACAGGCTTGTTTTATCTGAATTATAAGGGTTTAACAATGCTGTCCAATTACAATATCCGCTGTTTAATAAAATCTATTCATATAAATATATATTTTTGCAGATTTGGGGGGGGGGGGCAGGGGGTGTAGAAAGACACTATAGTCACCAGACCGAGAAAGCCGGGGTGGTCTGTGAGCGTTTTCCGCCACTCGAGACAATACACGATACGCCCCACACATGTCATTCCTCTCATTTTGAGCACGGAACAATGCCGGCGATTCAGACATTCCTCAGTGCGCCTCTGAAGCACGCGTTCTCCTTCATTCGCATACATTAACGCATAGAGAGACCGTGACAGCGTCTCGTGCAGAGTCTCTAAGGACGCACGAGTGTCGCTCAATGAGCAGTGACATAAAAAGAACGTACGCGGAGGCTTTTACGCACAACATTTGCACGAACTTTAAAACAGCTTAAAGATGATCCGCGGGTCTTAAATGGTTTAAGGTGGTCTCCCAGTCTGGACTTTTCCGTCCTGATCTGTTGAAAAGTGCCTAAAACCAGCCAACAGATCACACTGGGAGAACGGACAGGGTTTAAACAGTTTTTCTCAGCAGAGTTGCATCAATACAAGATTTCTGTCGGTAAAAGACAAGCCGTAGTCATCGCGAAAAAGTGATCCGCCGTGCGTAAAAAGCAGCCATTTAGTTTCCAGGTGCGCTATGGTAACATTAAGTGCCACAGAATGTCCCAGCTGTCTCCAGCCACGTGGACCGCTCACAACAACAACAACAACATGTTAAGTCCTGTCCTCCCTGATGCACTCAACCCACCCCCACCAACAAAACTCCGCGCGCCGTCCTCGCCGCGTCTCTCTCTGGCCCCGCACCAGCACCTCTCCATCTCGCCGTACCATTAGACTACCGAAGGAGGGGCCGCTCGGATGACGGTCCCGCGGAGGGGAGGGTACGAGAGGCGGGACCAAAGTCTTCCCCGCTTCTCGGCGCTGGCGAGTCCGGGACTAGGGCTGGAGAGATCGCCGGGGAGCATCGTCACCACTCCTGCACGGAGCCTCGCCTGGCCGAATACTGCACAGTGCACACGTCGGGATTGCAAAACATTCCTGAGAAATATACCTGCTATTTATGGCATGTGGCTGGTAACTTTACTCCTGCTGTATTCTTTTCAAGAAGGTATGTGGTCAGTTTATTTTTTGCTGCTTTTTTACTTATAAGATGTTGAAATAAAACGTCACAATGTATTAAATTAAATTAAGTGGAAATGTGTGTGCACAAAAATCGCGCTTTAAAGTTTATCGAATAGATATTCCGCGTTATTTTATTGCACGCTCACATATCTGGATTTCAGGAAGTTTCTTTCGCTCCAAAACTAATACAACTTCGTTCAAAAATGTTTTTAGTTGCTTAAAATGTGGAAAATTATTTCTCGAGTCGGTGATCAACCACGAACAGGAGATTACGAGGCTGTGGGATCTGCATGTTCCCGTGCGCAAAGATGGGGGAGATAGCGTGATTTGTATGCAAGATATGAATATGCTGTTGAGTTATGAATATGTAGAACGGGATCAGATTTAGCATCGGTCGTGTGCATTTACCATACACTTTTGGCCTTCTGTACTTTGCTGGGTGGGAAAAGTAGAGTTGGTCAGTGAGGTGTGAATTTGTTTGCGCTTGGTGTACTTTTTTACTGGGCTCGGAAAAATAATGTAAATTTCCTAGGATTTGAATATGTCTGTTCGTTGTTTAAAGTAACATGCTGCTGTATGCCTTTAGGGGAAAGAATAATAGGTATTTTGTAATAAAAGTGCACGTTTTTGTGGTAGAGGATGAATATATCTGCATAGATCCTGTGAAAAATAGAATGGCATATGCAGCCTCATTTCCAATTAGCACTGGTGCAATTAGTGGTCCTCCATTTTCTATGCCAACAGATTCCTGGTTTGGCTGTGCTGCTGGTGGGTTTGATAAGGCACATTTGAATTTGTATAAATTCAAAACGAAGATGTGGTTTATTGTAATCATAATTAAGGTTATTTATTTGCTCATTATGTTAGATTTACGCATCAATTTCTGTCATGATGTCTCCTCAACAATTTTGTTTTTGACACCTCACAACATATATATATATATATATATATATATATACCCCTCCTTCCCTCACTCTCCAGCCTTGGAGATATGCTTTCAGTTTTTGCTCATATTTTGTTTCCCTAAAATTATCTTACAACATATTTCTGGATCAAACCACTTTTCAAACGTGTGCGCCTATTTTGGAGTTTTCTTTATCTGATATTTCTTTGTCAAGTATGTATTTTTATTTACCCACAGACAGTTCAAATGTAAATGCTTTGCCTGGTTTTACAGTGCTTGAGTTTAGACGCTTTAGAATTGAGAAGGCATTTTTATTTTATATATATTTTAAATTACAATGTCATTTATTCGGGGATGTAAGGTCAGAATTATTCTCTCTCTGCCAGTGTGTGTGTGTGTGTGAGAGAGAGAGGGTTTGTGAAAGAGAACTGTGGTGTGTATTAATGTGTGTTTGTGTATGTTTGTGTGTGTTCTTGTATGGGGGAGGAAGGGCGTAAAGTGCGTAAAAACGGGATACGGAGGTCGCAAACAAATTATTATTTTAATTTTTTTTGCCATGTTTTCTTTTTATTTTCTAATGCTCATAGTTTATATTGTGTTTTCTGTGATTTTCACAATATATTTCTTATCTTGTATCTTGAGACCTGATGACACGGTCGATAGGAGATGTAAAACGCACATCAATTATCATACATGCATATGCATTAGGACTGCGTATTTTTCCGAGAGGGCCGCGCCTCCATCTTTTCCACTTTCAAGGAATGTAGAAACATTTCCCCTTAAAAAACCTTTTCCCCACATTTACCGAAATAATTGTATGTTGTCATAAGAACACATTTTAGTCGATTTTGGTTAGGAATTATCAGTCATTTTAAATGTATTATTATACATTATTGTGACCCGGGCAGGTTGTAGTATATTACCCCCCCCCCTCACACCTGAACCCCGGTCTGGGTAAATTGCCGTCTCGAGGGTCAGCTTGTCTTTTTATGGAAATGCAACTAAATGAAATGAAAAAGGCATCAAGGGATGCTGCAGTATTGTTTGTGGAAATTTCCATTGTTATTTGCATGGGAGTTATAATTTGTTTAAAAATAATAACTATTATTATTATTATTATTAACAATAAAAGCAATAATAGCAAATAGCTATTTTTATTAAACTGATTAATAATGTCATAGTTTATTGGAGTTGTTTTTATCGTGTTGGCTTTGTATGGAATATGGAATATAATTATTTTTAATTAATTCATGTTACTAACCAGATGTTAATAACCACTCAGTGTGAAAGATCTCAAATCTGTTTACAATATCAAACAAAATGTTTTAACAAATATTTGTTGATCTTTATTCATTTTATTTATGACAGATTTGCTTCATAGGATATCGAATAATGAATTAAGGGGCTGTGTGTGTTCGCGTGTGTGTATATGTGTCTGTCCAATATTTATTTTAAGGATCAGCAGTCCTCAGGTCGTCAAATTTGTGTGGTGGCTGCAATATTATCCCGTCTGATCCGATTTTCTGAACATTTGCCTAAATTAAAATGTGATTGGAAGGCATGCCACGTGAGACCTTTTTTACAGTGAGACATATTAATAATAATAACAATACTTATAACTTACATATTTATGTCTAACATCAACAATAACAGAAATCCACACCTGAACCCCGGTCTGGGTAAATTGCCGTCTCGAGGGTCAGCTTGTCTTTTTATGGAAATGCAACTAAATGAAATGAAAAAGGCATCAAGGGATGCTGCAGTATTGTTTGTGGAAATTTCCATTGTTATTTGCATGGGAGTTATAATTTGTTTAAAAATAATAACTATTATTATTATTATTATTAACAATAAAAGCAATAATAGCAAATATCTATTTTTATTAAACTGATTAATAATGTCATAGTTTATTGGAGTTGTTTTTATCGTGTTGGCTTTGTATGGAATATGGAATATAATTATTTTTAATTAATTCATGTTACTAACCAGATGTTAATAACCACTCAGTGTGAAAGATCTCAAATCTGTTTAGAATATCAAACAAAATGTTTTAACAAATATTTGTTGATCTTTATTCATTTTATTTATGACAGATTTGCTTCATAGGATATCGAATAATGAATTAAGGGGCAGTGTGTGTTCGCGTGTGTGTATATGTGTCTGTCCAATATTTATTTTAAGGATCAGCAGTCCTCAGGTCGTCAAATTTGTGTGGTGGCTGCAATATTATCCCGTCTGATCCGATTTTCTGAACATTTGCCTAAATTAAAATGTGATTGGAAGGCATGCCACGTGAGACCTTTTTTACAGTGAGACATATTAATACTAATAACAATACTTATAACTTACATATTTATGTCTAACATCAACAATAACAGAAATATGTGAACATAAAAACAAAAACGAATTTGCCCACTTTCATGCGTTTTCACCTCCAAACTGCTCGCAATGTCAAACCTGCTCCTCACATCAGGACACCTCTATCCCACCCGGTCTCCCCCTCATAGAAATATGCAAAATTGGTTTCCTTTCTCCCCCCTTTCTCAAATCCCCTGTTCTTCCCAGCTGCGCAATTAGTAGGAGATCTGCCGCATCCCCCACTCCAAAAGTAAATCAGGTCATTGGCCATAAGGACTCCATTTATCTCTCTCTCTCTCTCTCTCTCTCTCTCTCTCTGTTTCGTTATACTCGTCATATACACGTTTCCCTCTTCTTTTTTATGTAATTTGCCGGGAGACACATTGCGTTCATTATAATACGATCTATCCTGTATAAAAAGAGAGAGTAAAGCCTTGTGTGACAGCAGCAGGAGTCACAGTTATAAACACACGTTACTCTCATAAACTGTAGTAATCTGTACTTGAACTTGTCGTCTGCTTGAGAATGAGATGCTTTAGACTGAACAGGTTTGTCCTATCAGTGTTTTTTTCTTTTCTTTTTTTTTCTCCCACGAATTATGACCGTCCTGAATTGAATCTTAAAACCCAAACTGTTCCCATCTAAACATTTTCGCTCATGTAATAGTCCAATATACACTTTTTTTTTTTAAACATACCAAAAAAAAAAAAAGTTTTAGAAAAGTTTCACAAAGTATGCGTTTCATTCCTGTGCCCGTGGGAAACATCACTGGTCACTTTGTTGGTCAAGAAATTTTAAAGCAATTTTAAGTCACGAATCACGATTGTGTATTATAGGGAATAGCCTATATTATAGGGAAATATGGGGGGAAATACATGATAATCAACGATTATCAGTCCATGTTTCTTTTTAATTTGTGCGTTTTTAATAATAGACTCTATGCATTAAGTATAAGCTTTTAGCTTTATGTTTATTATGGCATGTTTTACATGTTTCCTTTCATGGAATTAAACAGCTCTGTGACTGTTTACACCAGACATGCAAACTATATCCATATAAACTCTAGACAGTCTGAACGCTGTGTAAAATAACCTACATTACTTGCAGACCCTTCAAACGCCGAAGAAAATTGACTTCACAAATGTGACCGTTGAGATTTACTGGGTTAAGCGCTGAGCTGTTTTTCTCCCCCTCCACCTAAAATCACACCCCGCCGCTCCACCTGCCATTTCAGCTGAAGTGCGGTCAAAATAAAAATCTACGTGTCGCTCAGGCGTTCCGCTTCGACAGGTGACTGCTGTTCTCCTTTCAGAGCTCTTGTGCCGGTGAGTTAAGCGCGTGAGCAAACACTCCTCGCCTCCGGAGCACCTGCTGCACGCGGCGCGTCGGGGCGCGTTTTTGGCCAACCAATCGGACACCATGCGCAAGGCAACAGATCTGGAGAGTCAGAATCATGTAACATCCAGTGTCAGGGCGCGAATTATGAGTTGACTTACCAATATCAATATCCAATCAATCAGGGATGGAGGTCATAGACAAATGACTCTTCTTTGTATGTGTGTGTGTATATATATATATATAGTTTCAATTAACCACAAAAGTTAGCTACAATGCACTAGTCGCTCACGAACAGAAGTAGTCTGAGGAGGTAACCATAGCAACAGCACGCTGCTCTAGCGCTTTGCCGAGTTCCTTTGCGAACAAATGTGCACTGGAAAACAACA